GAAACTATTTTACCCTGTTATAAATTGTTTATCCTCTGTCTCCTCCACAAGAATGCAGGCTCCAGGAGAGCAAAATTGTGTCCCTCTTGTCCACCTAAAAATATTTGTTGTTGAAATAGCTGCTGTAATGTAACTCTTCACAAGGTTCAAATAGTGGAATGATAGGACTACTCTCTTCCTCCATTTGTGGGTAAAGGAAGACATCAGATTCACCCCCTGGGTGTTCACTGAAGTCATGACCCTGTTTTGGAGTCCCTGGTACTCTCTGTCAGCCATTGTCCCTTGTCTGTGTCTGAGCTAGGTCTGAGTGGTGTCAACCACTGGGTCATGATGGAGGATTTGAAATTGACCAGCTGCTGGCACTGGCGCTCCTGAGCCTCCGTGAGTGCAGTTGCCTTCCTGCTCTTGACTGAACTTTGGCCTCACCGTTAAGGCTTGGCACTGGGTCTGTCTGCCCCTAAGCCAGGCACTGACTCCAATTCCTGGGGCTGGTGCCCTGACGCACTGTCTGCTTTTTGCTGTGACCTCCCTTGGGTGCTGGATTCTGCCACTCTGGCTCCTTCCCCTAGAAGTGTTTATGAACTTGCCATGAATGAAGGACAGCTCACAATGGTTTATGAGATCCCACAGTGCATCTCTCTTTCTAGCTCCACATCCAGTGACTTCACAGTTCACTGCAGTGGGAGCTTATAGTCCACTACAGTGGGAGCATTTACAACAGAGAAATGGGCAAATGCTCACATCACGACTTGGTCCCCCCAGAGGCTGTGTTGCTAAATGTTTACCATCACCACACAGGCAAAGTCCATCTGCATTGGAAAAGCTCCTGTTTTCTGGATGTCTTCTGCTGTTGGCCACACCATCCAGAGAGTTGTCTCCACAGAGCCTCTCAGCCTGAGTTGGGCTGGGCAACACATACACATACACCCCCCATAGTGAGGTCTCACCGGCTTGGAGTCTTTAAAACACATGGCAAATTCTGACAAATGTGGTCAGTACTCTGTGGGATGCTTAAGAGAAACACAAATAATAGCAAGACGCCAACTCTTGAGACAGTACAATATAATTTGAAAAGGAAATAATGAAAACTCATGTTCATTATCATTCTTCCCAAATTTCTTGCCACACACTCTTCTGAGTTTTCATAGACCAAAGATAAACACAATTTCTATCACTGATATTACCAAAGGTGCTGGCACAAATACAAGTGAGTTACCTAGAACAGAGAGAACAACTCAGTGCTGTCAGGAGGGCAGGCCAAGTGCATCGTCACATCCATGTGTGATTGCTCACACACGGCCTGAAGACACTCTTGCTTTTCATCCAGCTCGGCATTGAAATCTGTGACCATCAACCAGGGGGGACAACAGTGAGGACCAGTGGCCTCTAAGGGTCGGTCTCAGACTTGGCGCAAGAACAGCCCGTCCAACAGTGCTACGCCCACCCCTTCATGAAATGCTGCTGCTTTAAATATCAGACTGTGTGTTTTACACACACTTACACCTTATTTCCACAATTGAATTGTAGGTCCCTTACAAACAGAGACAGTGGTTTACATATTTTTTATTTCTTCCAGGATTCTGGAGAAGTCCTGACAACATTATAAAGTTAAAATTTTCCATATGTAAACAAAAAAAAACCCCGCACTGTAAATATAATTTAAGGGCAAATGACAAAATACTAAATTTATTTGCAACATGCTACAACTATAATATAATTTGTAAACCATTTATAATTATTTGGGAAGAAATGCATTCCCCTTCCCCAAATAAGCAAAGAATAAAGAGGGAAATTTACAAAAATGCACAAATGACCAGGAAACATTTTCAAACTATAATTATCCCTACAAGTTAGCAAAAAGATGCAAATTTCAACAACAATAAGATGCCTTCTTTACCTATTAAATCGATTGTAAAATTGTTTAAATGATTATATTTTATGTAAATGATTTGGGGGGAAATGGATGCTATCTCACATTCCTGGAAGAAGTGTACATCTTTTTGGTATTGCAAAAATAGAAACTGGGAGGAGCACAAGTTTGTGAAAATAGAAAATAAATAGATTATAGTGCATATATAGAACAAAATATAATACAATGATTAAAATATTGTTATAGAAAAATATTTAATGATGTGGAAAATGTTCATGAAATATGCTATTATATAATGTGGAAAAATATAGAAATGTACAGAAATATCATAAACATACATTGTGTTGTAACAAGAAAAAAGGCAAATGTTTAAGGTTTTGGTGGTGTTTAAAATAACAGTTTATTACATTTGTGGATCCTCAGTGAGGTTTTCTTCTGAACACGTTTTCATGTGTTCAGTGAGCAAAGATTTCTTCAGGCAATTTGTGTCAGTAGGAAAAGAAAATATATCACCTACTAGAAGATCAGAACATGCATTTAACCCAGGAGTCAAGTTCTCAGTCACAGAAACGTGGCAATAATAAAAAGTACCCATTTGGGACTAGTACCAAATGTTTTAGCCTTGGACTTAGTTATAAAAACATCCTATAGGGTATTGAGTCATGTGCCCTGTGATGGGGAAGGGAAGATGTGCTCAGCAGGGTAGGGAGGGGCTGGAGGCTGGGGATGTGGTGGAGACAGATCCCAGCTGCATACTTTCCACTCCTCTACAAGGGAAACACATGCACTGAAGACCTCAAGAAAACCAGTGACCTCTGGCCCCAGAGCAGCCTTCCTAGCAGATTCTCTGTCTTGTTCTACCCGAGCCACATTAGAAAGATGTGTCCACAAACAGCCAAGCTATAACTCACAAGTTGTGTTTCTGTGTTCCCAAATCAAAAGTTCAGATAGCGTGATCGTTTCAATAGCAACACTCAGACTGTGCTGAGTCCACGTGATCCAGGCTTCCTCAGTGAAGCTGTCCCAGGATTCCAGAAGGACTGAGAGAGTGCTTTCTATGTTAGTTTAGATTCTTACTTGTCCAGAGCCTGGAAGTGCGGGTGTAACTGCAGTTCCGAAAACACTGATATTTTTTCATCCTCTCCTAATATGAAAGCTGTCCTGCTTTTCTCCCCACCCAAAGCCTCCTTCTCCCACGACCATAAATTTGATCGAGACCCTAACACTTCTCACATTTCTCCACAGAGGCAAAAACAGTGTCCGCACATGAGAAGCTGCTTCCTACCACCTATTTAGCCAACTGGCTGAACTGGATGGAGAGCATGTGTGTAAACCAGACATGTATGCATCAGTCCACAAAGTCCAGCTACGTGGGCCTTTGTCCTTGAGGCTGCTCTAACGGAATGCCATAGATGGGTGGCTTTTAAACAATGGGCATGGATTTCTTACAGTTTGGAGGCTAGAAGATCAAGATCAAGATCAAGGAGCCTGTTGATCAGTGTCTAGTTCACAGTCGGCAACTTCTAACTGTAAGCTCATATGGTGAAGGGGCCAAGGGATCTCTCTGGGGTCTCCTTTATAAGGGCCTTAATCCTGAGGCCTCCACCCTTGTGACCTTAATCACCTCCCTATGGCCCCACCTTCCAACATCATCACCTTTAGGATTAGGATTCAATGTGAATTTTGAGGGGACACAAACATTCAGACGATAGCAAGCAGGTCCACCCACAGCCCAGACCTGAAACTAAGCTGAAAAAGTTACTCAGAGCAAATGCCAGGCATAGTAAACAACTTCATCTCCTGGAGATGGAAATGACCAGATTTTTTTTAAACCTTTTTTTATACTATTGAAGTGACTGGAAACGTAAAAATAAAGAAAGAAACCCTCATTTGAAACAGAGCCTGGAAACACTGAAGGAGGAACATCACAGGCACGTACTGCTCGTTATAGGCTGCATAACCAGCAGGAAGAAGGAAGATAAGAATTATTTTGACAAGGGAGGATATTAATTACATGGGAATTTCATCTTCTGCTTTTAAGAAAAAGGAGGAAGTTTCATCTCTGCCCCAGCAACAATGCATTAACTACTGCTTCAGACCGGTGAGAAACCACCACAACATTGAACCCTTGTTCTTCTCCAGTGAACTTTTGTTCAAAACAATCCTCCCCAATTTCCTCCTAAGACCTAACAAAAACAAGACCCTCCCCTTTGTTCCCTGGACTGGCCTATGGTTTTGCCATAGCATGCTTGTCCCAAACTGCAATTCCCTGCAACTACCAATGAGCCCATTTTGCTGGTAAAACAACTAGCTGTTTTAATTTTAAAGCTGACAGAACTGTGAAGGCTCAGGGTCCACAGAGGCCTGAGAGAAAATTTTTATCACTTTCCTCCTAATGTCAGTGCCCTCCTTCTGATCTCCCCAGAGCCAGGCTGCAGCCTCTCGCTTCACAGCCCCACCAACATCCTGCTGGCTGCTTTTAAGGGAGCCCAGTCCACGGGGAAGTTCTGATGGTTAGAAAGGGCATTGCTCTGTTGAATTGAAATTACCTTTCCAAAACTCACCCTCTGCTTCTAGTTCTGCCTTTATAAAACCAAAAGACGGAAAATCTAATTTCTTTTTGTGCTGTTAATTTTAATGATGTGGTTTTAGGAACAGGAAAAGGTAAGGAAACATTTAGAAGTGATGAAGTGATTGCAAGACAATCCACTGAAAATTCTCACTAAGCTCATTTACTGTTTTGGGACAAATGCTCACCAACAAGAGACAACCTGGACGAGGCCAGGAGTACTTACAGGCCTTGACTGTAAGAATTTAAAATCTCAACACTACTCTAAGCATGTGGCATTGCTTTCCTCATCAGCCATTCCTCAAGATGAGAAAGCCCATAAAAAATTAATTTGTAGGAATACTGTTTTCAGATTTTCTTCACAAATAATAGAAACACTGTAAATGTTACAATGTTTATAAGTGTTAAAATGATTAATGAATAATCGATAGGAGGTCCATATGTCACTGCTTCACATTTACTGCCTCACATTTATTTCTAAAAATAACTGCGGACATACAGATTATCTATCCACATTACACTTATTATAGGCACTGTGAAAATTAATAAAGGGAACCTCACCTGAAACTGGAGTTGGCAAGGCCCATAGAGGGGGTCCTCACGCCCTACCCGTCATTGTCCATCACTCCACACAGGAAGAGACATATCTTGCATCTCCAGCAGGAAGATGTATCTACTTTACCACTCTGGCCAGAGGAAGAAAGATTTTCTTCTTGCCCAGCCACTAGCCCTGACAAGAAATGCCACAGTTCAGCCAATGAGAAGCTGCTGTCACCTTGAACTCCTACTTTCCTCCAATGAACTGTTATTTTTCTTTTTCTAATGACTTTTCTTGCTTCACCCTCCTTTCTATGAAAGCCTTCCATTTTCTATAACTGCTCAGAGTATCTCTCTGCTTGCTAGATGAGATGCTGCCCATTTCATGAATTATTTAGTAAAGCCAATTAGGTCTTCAGATTTACTCAGCTGAATTTTGTTTCATAACAGCACAAAGGAGAAACAACAGAGAAAAACCCACAAACACTAGAGAGAGCTGCGTTTCTGCCCAGATAGTTGCGAGCCATCCTCTGGTGAGAGCAAAGATTCAGCCCCTTCATTCCTGTGAACTTCCTTTTGATGACTTTCACCTACTGGTAGATGAGATTGTCTCTATACTTCTGACTAGTCTTCAAGAAAAAACTACACAAGGGCCAAGTAACCTCTAGCTGGGACTTGCATCTCTTTATTTCTAGGGCCCATTGCTCAGCATCCTGAAAAGTTCAAAGCAGGCAAACAAGGATAAATCCTGGTTTCTCTCAGTCTGTGTCATCAAAGGTCCAAAAAGCAGCCAGAAGAAATTTCACTTATTTACTGAAAGGAAATGCTCAGAGGTTTTTCTGAGTTGAGATTAGTAAAAGACATTCTAGCAGCATTCATATTTTGTTATAACCCATGCAAACCATAAATGAATTTATTCTGATCTAATATTTTGTGGTAAAGTAATTTATTCAGTCTCAGCAAGGCACAAAGCCTTTGGGGCTGGAAAGTTGTTTACTATTAACTTAGGGACACCCTTATTAAATTTGCTAGTGTTGGTGTTTAGTGTTTGTATGCAAATAGCCCTTCAATTACATTTTTGTTTTCTTTTTCCCTTTTGGCAACTTTGCCAGCTCTTTAAGGACACAAGGCCCAACTGGGGACACCCATGTGCCAGGGCAAGGACAGCGTTTCCCACAGAGTGGACCATCAGAAAACATTTGTTGAGTGAACAAATTCTTGAGAAAGGGAGCATTTATACGATGCACGTTATTTAGGAGTAAAAATTGCAAATACTTTCAAATGAGTTACATTCTTGCAAATTCTTCCGGGGTGAAGAAACACGGGCCACAGCGCTGCCAAGATGCATGACCCCTGAGGACCCCATTCTCCTAGGTTATAAACTGCTTGGCCTTTATTTTTTTTTTAATCTTACTGAGATTAAATAAGAAGAAAATGTAGAATTTTTCCCATCCTTCTGTGGAGTAGACACTGTAACTCTAGCTTCAATTCAGTACACTGCTTAAGCATTCAACCCATGTTTTCACACAATAAAAATATTAAAGCAAATATGTGTTTTTAAAAACTCCATGGCTTAATTGGCAGATGTGATGACCTTTGGAGGTCATCCTGGAGAGTAGCACTTTCTCCCAGCAGCCATTGTCAATGCCTGAAAATGCACAGGGGCAAGAAGCATGTGGGTATCTCAGACCTTCTGGCCAGCTATCCTGGAAGCATGATTTGAGTGAGTCCCTTTTAGAATCAGAACATAAAGAGGTAATGAAAACACTGCAAGACAGAATCGGTGAGGTACAGTCTCTCCATTGGTACAAACAGAGGACAGGTGTGTGGGAAGAAGGAAACGCAAGCGGCAGGGACCACACCTCAGCAGCTTGCCGGGCAGATGGAGACAGAGCGCTACAGACCCACTTCAGGAAGGACAGGTGAACGCAGGGAGAGGCTCCGGGAAAACAGCTCTGATTCAGCAAGTGACCCAGCGGCAGCAGCAAGCCTAAGTGAATAAATATTCATCTTTTACTCAAATAAACATCCAGAGTCTCTAGCAGGCTTCTTAAAAACGTCATGGATATGGACACTCCATCCAAATAAAAATAAGTAAAAGAAATTGTCACATGTAAAAAAAAGACAAAAACTAATGAAGTCACACATTGAGAAGCAAATATTTCTCAGATTAAATAAGAAGAGCATTCAAAGAATATAATAGTTTCCTGACATGGTAGAGTTTTACCAAACCATATAGTGTCTTTAAGAGTTTTAGAAAAGCTACAAAATATTTTACTCTTTCTGTTGAAGGACTTGAAAAGTATCTGGTAAGAACTGGATGAAGTTTCAACCGAAGAATTCCCTGGAGTTGCTGCAACCAGGACCTTCGTGTGAGACATTCTTTACCAAACACGCTGCATGAAATATGTGCAGCGTACAAGTTCAAAGGGAAGTAAATGTACTTTTAAGGAACTGAAATATGTTTATCAGCAAATTTATATTTCAATAAAGCTCTTATGCTTAGACTCGGAGTGAGAAGTGTCAGTAGGAACAGTGCCACTTTTGCATCTGGTCACACGGTGAAGCCAGCTCTGTATTTAAAATCTTAGGCTTTTAAAGCTGAAAGAAACCTTAAAAGGCAACTTGGACATTGTTGAAAAGATACATTCAAACTTTGCAGACTGCAGAGCGCCTCGGCTGTTTGTCCAGGAACAGCCTGTGATGGCCCGGACTTGGTCCTCCCAGCCACATGAGAGCAGGACTTTTGGGGTACGCTGGCTCCATCACCTCGCATCTGCTCAGGTCTCTCCACCCTCTGAAGCAGTGCTTGAAAGCAGTCTATCTATCCTTGGCGTACTTGCCAAATCAAGAAGTAAATCAACATATGGAAACACAGAGAAGTTGGCCTCAATCTGTGCAAAACTTTTATGTTAAGGCCATAAACGTGATGAAACCCAAACAACGTAGAAGTGGAAACTGCCAACCAGTGTAGTGATAACTCTAAAAACGAGATAAAGTAAAGTAGCTTCCAATGCCTGCATTTGTTGAGGTTTTCTTTTCCTCACTTCTCATCATATGTTTGAAATTCTTTTGGAAAGTAAAGATTGTCCATAATTGGTTGACATTGAAGTATTCTGTATCCATGAACTTTCCTTCAAGGTATTTGAATGTATGCTTCAAATTGAGACAGTGTGCTAGGCAGTCTTTCCATAGTGATGGAAAGACTGAAGGAGCAAGGGGAATAATTGATAAATCAAGATACCAGAGAGACAGAACAATGAAGCATCAAAAACACAAGTGGCAGCAATTCCACTTCTAGGCACGTATCCAGTGAGACTGGTACTGGGACAAATGCATGTGCATGAGTACTCCCAGCAGTCCTATTCACTGCAGCCAAAAGCTGGAAACAGCCTAAATGTCTATCAACAGATGATTGGATAAACAAAGTGTGGTGTATGATTTCTCTTCCAGATTCAATTAAAATTCATATGTCTGGTTGCTTGTTTAGCAAAACTTCCAGTAGACTCATAGACTCCATGAGGGCAAGGACTTTGCTCTTTTCATTACCAGCTAATTTCTCTGCACCTATCACATATGGAGTGAGTGACATGCTCTGGATGTTTGCATCTCCAAAAACCAATTTGTTGAAATCATAAACTCCCCCAAAGGTGATATTAGTAGAAGGGACCTTTAGGAGGTGCTTAAGTCATGAGAGTGTAGCCCCCATGAATGGGACTAGTGCCATATAAAAGAGGGTCCACGGAGGTCCCTAGCCCTGTCTGTCATTGTGCAAGAACACAGCCGGACAGGTTGGCATCTATGAACCAGAAAGGGGGCCCTCACTCAGCCACACTGGCTCCAGCTATAGCAGCCTGCACAGACTGAAATAGTGATGCTCACCATTGTGCTATTTCATTTGATCATTGTAGCCATTCCTATTTCACAGATGAATTAGGGAGAGACAAATAAAAAGTTGCTTGCATAGGACAGAGTGGAGGGGAGACAAGGGATTTAGTTTCATAACCAAAAATATGAGAAAAGAAGAATAAAGGGGATATGTACATAGAAATTAGAAAGATTAAAGAAGGTAGAATTAACTAAAACCTGCAAGTGACAGAGACAGAAGAAACTCCCAAATCTGCATGTGCCTGTTCCAGGCCGAAATTCCTCAGTGGTTCTCCACGGTTTCACCTGTTAGCACACAGCCAAAGCTGCTCTTCAGGGTCTGGCTGCTGGGCCTCTCTCACACCCTGCACCCACAGTTGCGATGTCCCACTTTGCTGCATGGAAATGCTCTCACCTGCCCCTCCCTTACCTTTGGCCTTTCTTCCTGGAGAATCCCCTCCTCACTTTCTACTCCATCTCTCTGCTCACACACTGACTCTCTGAGAAGCCCCATTGGTGTTCCCTCGGCAAACTTAGGACCCATTTCTGGGGCTGGACCCAAGTTTGGGGGTTTAAAGTTGATACAGTGTTGGGGAGACTCTCTTTACTGAAAATACAAAATCACAAAGTGAACATTCATTTAGAATGAGAAAAATAATCATAATAGATTACATAGCTACAGCATCCAGAACAATTTTATATTTTCTGTGTATTATACAGAGAACAGAAAGATCCATCTTCTTTCCTCTAACAAAGTTGGTGGTAATTTGATTTACATCATAGATTACTTAAAAACATTTCTTCTTGTTTCACAACTCAGTTTTGGTAACATCATACAAAATTTTAAGATTTCTGCCAAATCTGGGGAAACCTCTCTCAAGTTTTTCCATAAGCATATCTTCTGCTTACAATATCAGACACGTCAGATGACTTGAAGAACACTGCACAGACCAGCTTCTGGCTCCATGCGTTTAAATCATGTTTCTCTTCCATTACTCACACAGTTCTGGTGCCAGGAGCTAGAAGACAAATTTAAATTGTGACATAACCTCTGATTGTGAAGCTTTATGTCACAGCACTGGTGAGCCAGAGCAGAGGGTTATAGGAGTATTGCTGGAAGTATTCCTGCATGAGGAGGGCTACCATCACTTAACAATGAACCACATGACAATATCTCGCTAAACCCAAAAATATGTATCCCGAACTCAACCTTTTCTTAACCAGTTCCAAAAATGCCTTTGGGGGCTTTTGTGCCATCTAATACAAGAAGAAATATGACAGGGAT